CATGGCGAAAATACCATACTGGTTCATATGAAATCGAAGTAACATAAAAAAGGCAACTAAGTTCTGTTTTTATTCGATGCACCCATTTATTATAACTCTCTTTTAGACAGCTGCTCTATGCCACGAAAACAACAATAAATGAACTGAATAAAAGCAACATTTATCTCAATGTGAAAACGTCACTTGCTATGAGACACATTAAGAACAAGAAACTACAATCGTTATTCAATAGAACATTAATTACTTATACAAAGAAAATCGAAGTTTTGTACCAAAAAAGATTTGAAAATTTGAACAAAACATTTGAGAATATCAAAATCATCATGTGAAGTGAAACTTTTACATCACAATAAGCTTAACACATCAAAATAAAAAGATAGAAAAGAATTTGACATTTAAAACCAAATTCTGAATTGTATAACAATCTAAAACAAAGCCACTCATCGTCATTTTAACTCAATAGTTCTCTTAACAAAAGTAGTGTTTGAATGCAAGACTTCTTGTACCGATAAACATAAGATTATTAATTGTTCATTGGCTTGAGAAGTTTAATACAGCTCAGCACTATTTAGAAGAGAATTACTAATTCCACCTGCAACTAATACATTTCGATTCATTTGTACAGATGCTGCTTGTTGCTCTCGTGCATTATTCATACTACCAGTCACTGCCCAAGTGCCTGTTGATGGATTATACAACTCAGCACTGTTTAGGAAAGAGCTAAGATCATATCCGCCAGTAACTAATACTTTTTCATTTGTTAATACGGATGCTGTATGGCTTACTCGTCCATTATTCATGGTAGCAGTGTTAAGCCATCCTAAGAAAACCATTTGAATATATTCAGGCTGAAAAGTTGAGCGTCAATAAACACACAAAACAATCTGTACTTAGATGATATTTTAAAATATTGTAATATGAAAATTGTTTTTTACTTAAGCTGTTCTCCCTCCCTCAAAAAAATGCTGATTTTCGAGCTTGATACATGTTTGAATAGTTCATTATTTCTACTCCCCAGAACACTGATTTATTGACTTTATCATAGATTTTGAAGATTTTTCAGAAGACGTAAAAGAAGACTTTCTGAAAACCTCTTAATGAAAAATTGATTTGAAAATTTAATCTATTCAAATCCTGTAAGCACTTATGAAGGATACTGATAACGGAGAATATGACCGACAAGCGCGCCCGTGTGTGAGCCATACACCACTGAACGCTCTGCAAATGGTTTTCGTATATGCTGTATAAAGAAAAAGAGATCGAGTTTTTGAAACTCAAAACTTATTAAGCTTTATTTCTTTAAATGAGTTTTCCTTCGCTTTTACTGTTCGTTTTTCAAGTATTCCTCGGCCTCTTACGGGCTAGAAAGCTCGAGATCTTACATTGAACAAAAAAATTGTGCTCTACAATTTAACAATGTCAAATTTTTCATTTTTGACTTATTCCTCGGAAAAATTGTATCTTTTTCGGTAAGGCTACCCCTAATTTTCCAAATTTTGAAGGTAAGTTTTCATCAGAAAAAAGAAACAAATTTTCGAAAAAGTGAGCTTTATTAGGTTGTGGTGACAGATGTTAGCTAAATTTTAACATAAACTCGAAATCTGTATCATTAGATTCGGAAGAGAAGCTCTTAAAATATGGAGATATGTTGTTTGGTACTTGATATCATGACATGTCTGGAACAGTTTAATATTTCAGGCTGATCTTTTGTTTTGGAACCAAAATAGATTAATGAATGGAGATCTTGAAGTGCAAAGCATTAACATTCTGTAGGCTAAAAAAGGGTTTTAACTTTGTTGCACGAAATTCTTTAGACAGTTGTCGAGAGAAGTTTGATGTTTTTCTATTTTTGTTAACATACTTTTCGTACAGATGGTTGATAAAAGTTTTCACTTTGAATCAGTCATTCTATCATTCATATGGATTAATCTATCTTTTAATTTTGTACAAAACCAGGCACCTTTAATCGAAGAATAAAAGTGGTATCGACAAATAGGAATTTCTCCTCGATTTTCTCATAGTTCTCTTATTTCCAAATTTAAAGTAGCATACTACTATCCCTAATAAATGTCGAACTCATATTGAGATCACCAATGCCCTCTGTGAAAAAGGAAGTCATGATTGCGAAAAGTATTTTAGAAAATGTATTACTCCAGCTATGACAAATCATTGAACTAGCGAAGTATCTATGGTTTATGTTCGGTTTTCCAACAAACTATCTTAGTGCCTTTAGTAGTAGTTCAATAATTAAGGAATTTCAATTTCTGAGTTCTTGACACCGGAAGAAGCAAGAAGTTAACCGAAAGTCACTGTCAAAAGTCGAAGACATTGTTGCCAGGAATATTGTGTCCAAGTGCTATCGATTTCCAATATCTCTCTACCGGTATCGTCTCGTATTTATTAAGCTGACTAATATAATAAGTAGATATTTTCGTTAACTTGTTAATAATCGCTTACTTAAAATTTACTTTGAATACTATTTTAACTAAAGAATGTTATCTTAAAACAACTATAATAATAACCAAATTCACTAAGGATAACATGAAGATAGCCAAATAAATTATCTACAAATATTATTTTTAAGATTAAAAAACTATTATCGTTGATATAATTCAACATTTCTCCAGTTACTTTAACTGACATATATGACAATTGTACGTAATTAAATTGTCTTGAATGAAAAACATTAATGCATCTAATGTAAATAATGCCTTTGTACGTTTTAAGAACGTTGTTTTTCATCTAATATTTCAAATAAAAAAGATGTGTCTTGTTTGACCAATGAAAAAATCTAAAAAAAAACAGTTTTTTGAAATCTTGCTTTAATCCTTTAAATAACTGCTTCTATAAAAGCAATAAGTCATATAGGTTGCTCATTCTACTTTAACTGGAAACTTTATTGATACCCCTTTTTTCACAAAAACAAGCCTTTAAACTATAACAGAATCAATCACTTATGTATTGGTCGTTTTATGTAGAGTATCAATTAGTCTCTGATTTTCTGATCACTTATGAAAACTTCCATCTATTTCAACTTTTTTAGTGACCTTTTCATTATCATCTTTAACTCTTGATTCTTCTGATTAATATTTCTTTATCCTTTATGTAATTTTCGCTTTATGACGAGACTCATTCAATCATCAGTTAGTAAAATCGAATCAAATTTCAGCTGGAATCTAGATGGAGTATTTTGATTGACTCCTATACACTCACAAATTTGAGTAAAAAAGTGCTTTTACCTAATTTACAAACATTTATCAATAACGATGGTAAACATACTGTTTGTGGTGAATAGCACAAGTTAACTACGCATATGGAAGTATTTGCTGCACAATTATAGGTACATTGTCACATGGTTCCAAAATAGAACATAGAATGCCAGATGCACAATAACCAGTATTGTTGAGTGAACGATAATTGAAGCAAAGTGTTGATGGCAAACGACAATTGTTGTTATCGTTGAAGCTTGTATTACATTGTTGTAAAGAACAATTTAATGTTGATTGCCATGCTGCATGAAGCGACGCAGACAATGTAAATTGATCATCTTGATTGTTTTCATTACAATAGTAATTAGATGCTGTTGTAGTTTGACCTAGATATATTTTATACTATGAAATAATGAGAGAAAAAAAAAGACGTTGACAAACAAAGCTATTACAAATCGCATGGTTTCTATGTAACAAACGAATGCAGGTATTCAAAATGAATTTCTTTTTCATTTGCTCTATACTTTTGAAATAAAACAAATCAAACATGGAAATACATTAACGAAACCATTCTATAAAGTTGATTCACTATCAAACAGATTTGAATTTTATCATCAATCTTTTCATACTTTCATTAAATGACTTGTATTTTTTTGTTGCTTTCTTCTCTGAAGTGGCATTAGTTTTTTACTTGCTGACTCTTTTTATAAAAAAAATTATGTTACAACGGAACTTTGATTATTCCGAAAAAGAAATAATGGATTATTTCGAATATTTCCCATCATTGTTGTCAAATCGTATAAAAAATATTCATGTTTTTTTCCGTGGAATTGACATATATTTTTCAAGAAAACAGTAACTGAAAATTTAGATCGAGGTTTTTATAACTCCTCACATAAACCCTAGACACCTAGAATGGAAGAAGAAAACTCAAAGATCATCAGGCTGTGGGTGCGGGAATGTGGTTGTTGGTTTGCATTAAGAGAAGTTTCACGTTCACATCCTTTTTTTGTTTATGGAGAGTGTGGGTCTTAAGTATGCTCGAGGGTTTACGCCTGTTTATTATTCTCAGTTATATCCATACCAAGGTATCCACACCCACATCAGGGTTCAGTAAATACGTTAGCTTCAAGAAATGTGTTTGGTATTACTTATGTATGGATAAAATATTGCTAAAAAGTAAATAGCCACTGCAATCCTCTACCTTATGCAATTTGTTAGAGTCGTGAATGTAATATGTTTGCGGACTCAGATATAAAGAAATGGACAAGAGAGCTAGAAAAACTAAAGAAGATGCTCCACAATTCACCTTATTTTACTATTCGACAAGATTCTACATCATTCATCAGCAAGATTAGTTTAGAAGTTGGAGGTAAGTTTGCAGATAATATCTAGAATTGACGATGGAAACTATATTCAGGAAAAGATTATCATTTCTACTGAGAAATGATAACGAAAAACAGGCTGTGGGTACATGTAGGTTAGAGTCAATAGAACACCCTAATTATAACCTTTGACTAGATCGTCACGTCACAATTTAGGTAATCTTGATAGAATTCATACTGCTATTTCAATAAAAATCTCAAGTTCGGATAGCGACTTCGCAAGAGTCAAACAGATCATTTCGCGCTAGGTTAAAGAATGAACGGAATTGAGACGTAGCTTTTGATGGAATCGATGGATCAATCCATTTGAAAACAAGAGATATGAAAACCGCTTGTAGTTTTCTTTTATAAGAAAGCAAAAAAAAACAAGTTCTATATGTTGGTATTCGTATGTAGAACCTTGTTTGTTTTCTTGTGTTTTGCATCTGATATGTAGGACAAGGATATTTGTGAACACTTTTAAGGTATTTTCAAAGTGTATAACGGTAGATACCAGACGATCTCTTCGACAATTATGATGATACTACTTTCACTTGCTCGTTCGTTTCTAGTCATTCCTAATATCCTATTGAATGCACGATGGGCACAGAATGGTGTAACTGTTTCTGAGGTCCAAGAGTATGGCAGTACCACCAATCAAATTCATCTACCTTACGGTCTCTTCGTTGATGATGATCAAACGATAATCATCCCTGATGCCGAAAATCATCGTATCGTTCAATGGAAGATGGGTGATACGAATGGACAAGTGATCACTGGCGGCAATGGCTTAAGAGACCGGTTGGATCAATTGCATTATCCAACTGATTTGCTTTTTGACTATAAAACTGATAGTGTCATTATCTGCGATTACGGGAACCGACGAATCCTACAATGGCCTCGTCATAGTGGCACAAATCAAGGAAAAATTCTCCTCGATAACATCTATGTTGGTAATAAACAATGAATCATCAGGGATGTCTATGTATCTGTGACTGCGTCAAACAAGAGTTAGGCGATATCAAATGGGAGGCAAGAATGGAGTTCTCGTGGCTGGTGGCAACGACCAAGATTATCATTTTAATCAACTTAATGCTTCAAACATCGTCTTTGTCGATCGACAACAGGCGGTCTACGTGTCGGACGAAAAACTCATCGTGTGACTCTTTTGTCAAATCAAGTAGAAAAGATTTATAGTGTTTTTATTTCAATCGAACAATACAGCAAACAAAAAAAATAATCATAAGCTTAACAATTTAATGAAAATAAATGTTTCTACTTGCACATGTCAATGATTGTTTACAGTAAATTTTCGTCGATAATTTGGAGAGATAATTAAAATGTTAAGTCTAGATATACTTTTTTATTTCAAACATTTTGATTGTTTTTTTTTCTTACTAGGTCTTGACATTAATACATAATGAAATAAAAACGGCATGAAATATGATGATTAAGTGTCAATACGAACTCGAAAAAATAAGTAAAATCCGGATTAAATAAAATTATATAATTTCATGGTTAAATAAATAATTTAAATTTTCCTAACAAAGTTTTAATTATGATTAGAAAAATGTTTCTGTTTTTACGAACGAATTCCTTTGTTTGAATCGTCACTCTGTTCCAATGCAGTTGGTAACTTTGGAACAGTTGTAACGGGTTCATCAGTAACATATAAAACTGCCTGAGGAGTAACTTCATTTGTAGCAACATCTCGTGTTATTTCTAATGTTTCAGGAGATAATGTATCTTTATAAAAAAACAAAAAAAGAACGATTATTTTTATCATAGAAATAAAAATATTTCAACTCTACCATTTGTCAATTCTGTTCTAGCTGATTGTTCATCAACATTATTCATTTGATTTGATGAAGTACTTGTTAGAACAACATCAGCAATAGCTGCATTATTTGATAATGCTTCAACTACTGAGAGGTTTTAGTTTAAATATAGAACAAACAGAATATAAACATGTCTAGCATACCTATTTGATTGTTGCCATGAATGAATGCATCATTCTCTTCAATATATATGAAGCTATCAGGAATAAGACTTTGTTCTAAACAAAGAAACACTTTTGAATTATAATGTCATTGTCAAGTGACTATTTCAATAACCCATAGAGACATGCAGGATTAATGTGAGTCCTAGTTTTGGTGACTGTAACTAAAGTTCATAGTGAAACATTCTATGGGTTTGAGAAAATAATTAGCTTATAAATCATCTGAATGGATAAATTCTGAAATCGTTTTCTCTAAAAATAAATCGAAAATTAGCCCACCATCATTATCACTGTTCATGGATATTCGATCAATATTTTGTGTTTCACTTGTAATAACAGAAAAATCTGTGTCATCTAGAAAAAAAAATACATCAATCATATCATATCATACGAAATTTCATTTTGAAACTCACGTGGAATCTCCTCCGGTACTTTTGTTATAGCATTGCCTGTCACAGTAGCCTCCGTTGGTATGTCTAAATGTTTTTTATCAAATCACAAGAGTTAAAAAGTATATATAAAATAATATAAATACGAATTAGCCGTAATGTTGCAACAATTTGACTAGGATTATTTTGTGTTATTACATCCATATTAATACGGTTATTTTCACCGTTGGTAATTTGATCTTAAAGTTACAAAAAGAACCGATTTAATATAAAAATAATAAATTAATTTCTTTCTAACTTGGACTAAAAGTATTTAGAACGATTGTTGGTGGCATATGATGTGCTTGAGTATCCTCTATGCATTCACTTTCTCGAAAATGTATAAAATATTCTAGAAAAAACAAATAAGAAAAGAATTAATGAACGTTGTTAAAGATAAAGACCATCGATAGTTGATGAAAATTTATAATCATCCATCCAACGTACACGTTCATCTCTAGGACCTATAGAGATAAATAAATTTTTCGTTATTAATCTTGTCTTTAGAACGCATACATAGAACTTACAATCGACATGTTCTGCTGGTAGATAATGTTGACTTGACGCAAAATTACCTGAAATCAAGAATAAACATTTAATAAATAGATGCGAGATAGATTTACAACAATGCGATGAATTTTTACTTGATGGCACACAATGATCTAGTTGCACACCATGGTGATTTTGGCGATACAATACATCATGATGAGTACGTGTATATCCATGAATTTGCTGATTTATATAGCTCTGCTCAGCATTCTTTGATTGTTTTTCTTCAGCTGATTGAGAACGAATTATATGAAAAAAAAGGTTTTCAAATTTTACTTTATCTATATCAAAAATAATTACCTATTTTTTGTTGATTTGATAGTAATAAACTAGTAGAAATAGGTCGAGCAGTTGTTGGTAGGCAGCGTCCATCTTCTATAAAAATTGAAATTAATTATTAGTAGAAGCAGTCCTCGAGTTTGATTCAAAATTAATTCTACATATTTCAAGTTTGTTTTCTTACCATCCGATGACTCATTGGAGTCCATGTCATCATCATTTGAACTACGTGTCTTATTTTTATTAGCCATTTTAGCATCAGAATTTCTTCAGATACTGGAAATCGATAAACTTTGCTAGAGCGTAGTGCTGTGTTAAAAAGAATACATTTGATCAAGAATAATAATCTATAATACAGAAAAATAGTTGTCATTTCTTTTCTCCAATTTAGTTTTTACTTGACATTTCTTTTTTTTTTGCCAGAGATTGTGACATTAGACTTTTTTGATCAACAATTTATATATGGCTTCATATCTTTATAGTTTCATTATGGTTCAAATCCTCATTATATTCGTGATCTTTTCCTTTTTGTTTTGTTTTCATCCAAGTTTTTGTTACACGCGCAAAAAACAAAATTTCGACAACGAAAAATCCAGGTGAGGCATGCTCTCATGCCGTCAAAACAACCTTGTGAAAACAGAAAATGAAAATTATCGACGAAAAAACTTCGACATCACCAGGTAAGTGCATATATATATAAGTAATGTAACAGAATAGAACTTAATAAATATTCGAAATAAGTTGGAATGAATTTATACGGAATCAACAGTGTTCTTATGAAAGTGAGTAATAAAAAAATATTTTGAAGATCAAAGTTTTTGTCATTTTACTGAAATCGATATTCGGTAAATTGCATGGGATGTTGTGATTAAACTTTCACGATTCTAAATCTTACAGTTCAGAAGATTTGGAAGGACCAAGATACGAAATGGAGTTTTAACGGTTGAAAATATATTTTCAGTACAGTTCAAACTCAAGACTTTTTTTATTTCATTTTGGGGATCGTCGGAACTAGAGCTGCGGGTGTAGACATTTGATTGTCAATACATGGAAGGACAAGATCCACACGCATACGCACACTCACCCTAAATTAATATTGCAGCATAAGTTATAAAAACAGAATTCCAGTGTCATATCTATTTTTAACATATTTTCTGAATTATTTCTTTCATATCACGTTCCTAAATCGAAAATATTTCATAATTTCATCTAATTCACAACTGTATTATATGGCTATCTCTTCTCTACTGTACACTTTTCGCCATAAAAGACAAGATGTCTTTTTTTCTTTGTTTTTGAAAAACAAAGGTTTTCCATACTTTTGTTTTGGAACGTGACGATAAATTGACACCCCTAAATAACTATGTTATGGAAATACATCGCTCAAGAACATTTTAAAAAAATTATCTTGTTGGCTACGTATCTTAATTTATAGCTATGGGATAAAAATTAATCGTGTAGATGTTTTACGGCTCTATAATAAACTTTGAATACATTTTCAGATGTTAGCTATTTTTACGATCCATTACTTTGTATTTAAAAGAGCCTACTGACGTTTGATTGAAAGTGAAAGAAAGAATCATTTATAGTTTTATTCTTTGTTATAAAATCCCTTTTTATGATCAGTTTCTATTGAAAGCAATCCATGACATATGTAATACCGAGTCTAGATATATATAATAAACGACATTGAGAATATTGTTCCTTTATCGAAACAAAAAGAAATAATAGATTTTTTTTTTCTTTTATCAACTACATGGACACCTTCTTTTTTTTTCAAAAAGAAAATACTTGAGAAGACATTGTACGCAATGCGAACTTTTTTTGTAAAACAAATCGTATGAAATATTTAACTAACAAAAAATAACAAATACGTATACGTCTTATAAATACTCAACACAAAGAGACTCCATTTGAATATGACAAAAGTATACTATAGAAGTTCTCTATGTTAAAATATACATATGATTCACAATTGAAGAACATCATAATAAAGCGATTACTTTATAAGTTCAAATCTATTCAATCAACTGCGAAAAATAAATTAGTTAATACTCTTTGAAATTCACAAAAGAAGCTTTCCTTGGCTGTTCAGAAAAAAAGTTCTTCTCTCCTTTGATATGCCTGTGCATGCTTGTACATGTCTTATTTTTTCGTTCTGTTGAAAAATAAAACTTCATGCCAAAAGTCAATAAATTAAGTAACTTTGGCATTAGTAAATAAAAACAAAGATTATACAATGTTTTCTCATGAGACAAAATTTTATGTATTTGTTTTTCAGTATTAGAATTCTTCACCATAGGAAAAATTGTTCGGAAATATTTATTTTATGAATACTAGATTATACACAAATAAATCTTAGTATGAACGATTTGTCCGATGAAAACTGTTACAATATCTCGTAGCGTAGTATATTGTCATATTAGTAATTAACATAGTAGAAATTTAATCATTTACTTCCAATAGTGATTTTTAAAAAGTCACACACATAAATGAATGGTTTCATAGAAATGATAATATTGTGCATAGAACGAGTTCATTTTATTATATTGTATTAGAAGTAGTTTATCAATTCAGTGGCTAATAAGAAAAAATGAAGAACACATGGAAAAGCATTTTTTTT